GTGATTTAAAAATAACATATTAATAAATAAAAAATATTAAAAGATTGGCATCAAAGGACACATAGATTGATAGATATGCAGTTATTAATAACATCTAAAAAAAAAATGTAACTAAAAAAAGAAAAAAATCCCCCTTTCCCTCAAACTTTGCGTGACCCCCCTGGCGCCTCCGGTCCCTCGGGGGGTCGGGGCCCCCACTTTGAAAAACACTGCCTTACACTAGCACCATGTGTATGTCTCTCTCAGAATTAGCACTGTGGCGCTGCCCCTAACCATGTACAGACCCAGGCCCCTGCAGCGCTGCAGCACCACTCTCTTCTTCCTCCTCACCTCCCTCACCTGGGGGCTGCTCTCTGTGTGGTTGGGGGCCTGGCACAGGGAGCTAGACCCGCCAAGGTGGGTGTCTCCAGAGATATGCCGTGTAAAAACATGATAGAACAGGCACCCTAAAGATTTAATACAATCACAAAATAACTGGAGACACTGATAGAAATGCCAAAGGTTCAGTAAACATAGTAACCTTGATGAATGTCAACTCCCTCCTGCACATTGCACCCCACTGTTTGTTTTTGCATTTTGTGTGTGTCGTTGATGCACGGGAAGCTGTATGAAATGGTATTGTCCGCTCCTGATGTTCATTCATTCACTGTTTGCATAGCTCTGCATTGCACGTGTGTGTGTCTTGTTTTTGTTCTTTAAAGAAAGGCTTTACAAACTACATGATCATCTGTCATCATCAGTTACACACCCTGTGTAACCTTGAATTCTTAAAGACGAAGAATACAAATTGTTTCCGCTAAAACTCCCAATCACTACTTACAGAGTGTCACTCTTGTGCGGGCGAACTATTTATCTTTGTGAGTGTTACTCTAGTGAGATTTAAGCTAAATGCACATGTTTTGGAAGCAAAAACGTGAATAATTAAGACATGAGTTATGCTGCACACGTTGTGTTTTTGATAAAGCTTGTTTGTTAAACATGGCCTCCATTTACTTCAATTCATTGGGACTCACTCATGAGAGAAAAATAATTCAAGGTTGAGTAACTGATATACTAATGATCATTTTCTGAGTGAATACTTTTTTAACTGTATTGTTGCCACTGGTTATCATTACAAATATGTGTTTTCAACTCGTTCTCATATTGGAATCTGTTTGATCAACACTTGCTTTGCTCAGTGGCAAGAAGAGGAAACCGGCCTGGACGGATCGGATCCTCTGGCGCATCAAACCCAAAACCTTGCCTTCAGAGGATGATGATGACAAGGCATCGATTTCCACTGTGGATGAGACCGAGGAGTATCCGCTCCTGGTCATTCAGGACAAGTACACCTGCGACATGAGCTACGGAGTCAGTGACCACAAGCCTGTCATTGCAACCTTCAGTCTGGAGGTGAGAGGAGGCTCACTGTAGGGCTATAGGAATGTTACTCAATACATATAAGTCTGTTCTGCATTATTAAAGCTCCATGTTTTTCCTTTTGTTATTTCCTGCAGCTGAAGAAGTGCTATGACACACCCCAGGTGCACGTTTCTCCTCTGGGTGTATGGTGCGCCGACCATGACGCACTTCTTACCTACACCATCCAAGAGGACTTCATGTCCTCCACATGGGACTGGATCGGCCTGTTTAAGGTATGGGATATACTGTACATAGAGGAAAAAGAAAAAAACATATAAGAAAAAATATTTAAATTCTTGGCTGTTCTCCTGCAGGTGGGATTCAAGAGTGCCTCCGACTATGAAACCTTTGTTTGGGTTCGAGAGGAGGAGTTGCCAGAGATAAATGAAGTCATACAGGTAATGTGGAAACTAGACATTTATATCACATGTGGAGAATCCTTTATGAGTGTATGTTTTATTATTATGTATGTGTGCATGTGTGTTTTTGATGCAGATATCTATGGACAAGGATGAGATCCCTCTGCTGGGTGGACAGTTTGTTTTGGGTTACTACAGTACAAACATGCAAAGCATTATCGGCTTCAGTGCTAACTTCCAGGTGAGTGTTCCATTACCACATCTGTAGTTGCATTTTATCATATGTCAATACTTAATCATCATTTGTTTACTCAGAAGAGGATGTGTTTGCTCTAAGACACCTCTACGTGTACTCTATGCGTCCACTGTGACTTTGTGTGGCTGTTAAATTCAAGTTTTTCATCTTTGTTTGTATCTTGAAGATCCTGGAGTCAAAGCGTGCCGTCATGGAAGGACTCGTTCCTGAAGACATCAATGGTCTCAAATGAGAACAAATTCACTGCACTGTATTTCTCTACCTTTGGAAATGTATCCCAATTGATTCTGTCATTCAAATGGCCCAAAATCTAATCCATTAGACACTGGATCAGCTTATTCAGTCTTTAGATAATGGCCACTACAATGTGCTATCCAATTTTCTGGAAACTTCTATTTGTGTTTTCCAACTTTGCCTTTATGGATTTCATCTTAAGCTTGGACAGTTTCTCTGCAAGAAAGGTTTATCGCTGTAACGAGTAGTCCTCCAGCTTTTCCACTGGCCTTTTTTCGCCCAAAAAAATCAAAAATAAAGAAATAAGTTGCATTTTGATTTTAAAGAATATAATGCTGAAGGTCAATGCAGCCCCTGGTCAAATTGTATTTGAAAATAAATGTTTTGGTTTTGGATTGTACTACATATGTGCCAGTGCAGAGGGTCGTACCATAATAAATATCTGCTTATTATGGGGAACTGTTGCATAGAAAAATGCAGAAGAATGTGATAATTTAGTTTTTAAATGTATTGCTATGTGTAATTGGACACACGTGTCTTAAGATAAAAGATAAAGATGGAGGAATCATGCCTAAAATATAATATAAACATGAATTCTAAAAACATTTCATGTCATAAGTGGATGTTGAGATAGACGTCTACTGTGAGGTGTTTTAAGTCTTATTTAGCTTTAAAATAAATATGTTCAATGTTTATTAGATCATTATTAGAGTATAACATGTATCATGACAGACTCTAAGGCAGTGAACAGAATCATGACAGGATTATATCTCTAATTAATTATTTATCTATCTCACTACTTATACTAATTGTAATTGTAGTTTCTCACATTATTGCAGTACAGCATGCCTTTTTTACCCCAATGCATAACTGATGACTACTGTCAAAATGTATGTGTGTGGTGTGCGCCTTATTGTCAAATAAACGCAATGATGAAGTATGCGATGTAGTGAAATAATTTGTTTTATTGAATAGTTTAACCAATAAGAAGAACATGCTGTTGGTTAGGGAGGTTCTTGATCTGTGATCATAATTGAGGTCTAATAAAAACTGAAAGAAGCAGCTGACTGTGAGAGTTCATTGGCATTACATAGTTGTCATTATTTAGTGACTGTGTTCATGAAAATAATACAACCTTTGTTTTTACCTCCAAGGTGAATGACTAATCAGTATTAGATACATCAACAGCAGACAAAGCTACACATCAAACTAGTATATCATATATGACATCCTACAAGCAACACAAGTGTGATAAGGAACATGGTCTTAGTCTAGCCTCTTTTTTTTAATCTTGAATAGTTATATTCATTGAAGAAGTAGTACATATCCTGAAGGATTTAGGACAGGTACGGGTAATCTTGGTACGTCACAGCAAGTTACAGCCCGAACCAAAGATACATCTATTGATCCAACTAAACCCAACATTTCATCTATTGATCCAACTAAACCCAACATTTCATCTATTGATCCAACTAAACCCAACATTTCATCTATTGATCCAACTAAACCCAACATTTCAACTATTTGCAAGTCGTTAACCATTTACCTGACCATTTATGCTGCTACAATACTGTCAATAGAGTTGAAGGAACCCAAAGTCGAGCAGAAAACCAACAGACATGTAATAATAGTAAAAAGAAATGAGTTAAAATGGAAAATAAAGAAAGAAAACAAATGACGACTGTTCTTACTTTCATAAATCTCCCATAATCCATTGCGCGGGTCCGTTCATTGAAATGACAACTCCTGCCTGTTGGAGTATCTCTCCTTTAAAGGCTCTTTGGTGTTATACACGTGGGGAATTTGAACACATCGCTTCCTCGCTAAAGGTAAGATTTTTAGCACATGTCCGTGTACCTTTGATGTCATATAAACATAAACACAGTTGTGTAAACCAATGATGGTTATGTTATTGTTCTGCAATCACTGCGAAAGGGAGTAATTTGTCCAAAATGTTAGCTAACAGCAGGCTAGCATAGTTAGCTTTGCTGGTTGACATCAGTGGCTCTGGTTGACATAGGCTAGCTAGATGTAAATACGTTGTTTCAGGAGTCCAAATATTTACAGTAACAATGGTAAACATCGATTTGAAACGTGTTGCTCATTGTCCTTTTTAATATGGATGATCGTGAATGAGTTAAAGTAACGTTAGGATATATGCTATCAAGTAAAGCAAGTCTAGCTAGCTATGTTTCCTTTTAATAAATAATGAGAAAAGACAATCTTAAAGTAAGGCATACTCACTTGTAAAGGAAGGATTGCTAAAATGTGCAAAATACAACGTCATATGTTGGGCTAACATTTAAAACATGAATTGTCCATGTCTTATCAAGGACTGGATGTGAACCTTTTTCAGCAAAGATAGCTCATACAGCATCTCCTTAAAACTAAGAAGCAAAACAATCCTGATGCCATTAGCCAGAAAGCCATTTTCATTAACATTGTGTACTCAATTAAGTGTATCATACTATAGTATACGGACATTAATGTAATGTACTGTTTTTCAGGTTTAGATCCAAATCTGAGGATGGCCAGTGAGGACGTGGAGCGGCTGCTGATCCAGTTTCAGGATGAGGAAGGAGTGGTTCTGGGTTCACCTTTTGATGTTCCTCTAGACATCACACCCGACAAACTACAGCTTGTCTGTAATGCACTGCTACAGAAGGTAACCAGCTGCAATTATAACATTGAAGTAGAATTTAAATTGTCATTAGACTGTAAACATCTGCTCATGAATACATTTCCCTGTTATATCTTTAGCCAGGCTTTGTCCACATCTACGATATTCATTTTAAAATGAAAATGTGGGACTCAAGAGTGAGAATGTTTGTACTCTAACAGGTACAAAGTGTTTCTTTTGTAAACTGCATATCACTTACTGTATACTTTTAACGCATTTCTAACTATGGTCATGGTAAATGTAACATGGCAATTTCCCAATTTTATTAAACGTGTATAAAAGTGATCAAATATAGATTGTATTATTCCTGAATGTATAAACGCTTAAATGTTCTTAGAATAAGGTAATCTTTCAAAGTCCTCGCGTGCCATATTTTTTAAATCCAGTCAATACATTTTTGTTATTTTTCTTTCTCCACTGTAGGAGGAGCCTGTGCCACTGGCATTTTTTGTGCGTGGAGAGGCAGAGGTGGTGTCCAGTCTGGGGTTGTGTGTGAAGGCTCTCTGTGTGGACACAGAGCAGGTCCTGCCCATTGTGTACCAGCCTCAGGCTGTGTTCAGGGTCCGGGCGGTGGCACGCTGCACCAGCACGCTGCAGGGACACACAGAGGCTGTCATCTCAACTGCTTTCAGCCCCACCGGGAAGTGAGTAACTCAGCTGCTAGATGTTTTTTTGCCTGTTTTCATCTATTTTGTTCTTTGATGTATCCAAGAGTTCTCTTAACATTAAATGATCCTTGTTTCTTTCAGATACCTTGCCAGCGGGTCAGGTGATACCACAGTGCGTTTTTGGGACTTGACTACTGAGACGCCCCACCACACTGTCAGAGGTAAAAAATATCTTCTATAGGGCAGCAAGATCTGCTATGCGTCAACAAATACTTTTAAAAGTGTTTTAGATGCCATTAAGCTGTATTCTTCTTTATTGAAGGACACACAAATTGGGTACTGAGCATCAGCTGGTCTCCAGACGGCAAGAAGCTGGCTTCAGGGTGCAAGAACAGTCAGGTGAACTGCCAACACACAATGCAGTTTCTCTAAGGATGTATGTATCCCATGAACGTGGTGTATTTATTTTGTTGTGGCACTGCTTCTGTAGATCTGTCTGTGGGATCCAGTGACGGGTACACAGCTGGGGAAGACTTTGACCGGACACTCCAAGTGGATCACTTGGCTGAGCTGGGAACCTCTTCATCTGTGAGCACTAACTCATCACTTTCTCAATTCTGTAAATTATTGCCTATTTTACTGCTGACCTAAATCCCATTCCCATTCCATTATTTTTGGTACTTAAACTGTTAAATAACAGAAAACTAGATGCTTTTTTAATTAAATGACAAATTTAGTTTTTAGGTTCCTGCTATTGTGCATGCTAGCTCACTGTCACACTGGTTTACTGGGACACTTGAATAGTAATATTTTTCAATAATGTTTTAGCTACACATGCAGACAAGTCACTTCAGACCTTCCATCGTGTCCTCTTAATTGAAAATGGTACAGTAGTTTTTCATTAAACCAATGAAATAAATGCTTAATAAGATGACAGTAGCTAATGTAATAGAGGCTAGCCATGACATGATATAGGGACTTTATAATGTATTGTAGAAAATCAGAATTGCGATAGATTTTCTTTAATCATTCTGTCCTGACTGTTTGTCTGATCCCCCTCTTCCTCTCCCTTTTAGTAACCCAGAGTGCCGGTACTTGGCCAGTAGCTCTAAGGACGGCTCAATACGTGTATGGGACACCGTATTGGGTCGTTGTGAAAAAATCATGACCGGACACACTCAGTCAGTCACCTGTGTGAAGTGGGGAGGAGATGGACTTCTTTACACTTCCTCCCAGGACCGAACAATCAAGGTCTGGAGAGCCAAAGATGTAAGTGTGTGTTTGAGACACTTCTTTAAATGTTCATTGTCACAGACGGAGTGAGTCAAATGAGAGAGGCGATACACCTCGGTCAAGTCAAATACTTCATGTGTGTTTACTTCTGTTTTTGGGTATAGGGCGTCCAGTGCAGGACTCTGCAGGGTCACGCCCACTGGGTGAACACCCTGGCTCTCAGCACAGACTACGTCCTGCGCACTGGAGCCTTTGAACCTGCAGACGCCACGATCAACCCCCAGGACCTCACTGGATCATGTAAGGATTATGTAACTTAGACTTGGGAAATATTGAAAGGGCAAAATGTGCTACTCTTTGAAGAAGAGGCTTCATGGCTTTCAGGTTGAATGTAACATGCATTGATCTCTCCCCTAGTGGAAGAACTGAAAGAAAAGGCTTTGCAGAGATATAATAAAGTTAGGGTAAGTATTGCTTGTTCTCTGTGCGTATGTGTTCTAGTCTGTATTTCCTTTATATCAGTACTCTAACTCCTGCTGTCATGCTACAGGGTTCAGCTCCAGAGCGCTTGGTGTCGGGCTCAGATGATTTCACCTTGTTCATGTGGAACCCTGCAGAAGAGAAGAAGCCTCTGGCCAGGCTGACGGGTCACAGCGCTCTGGTCAACGAGGTGCTCTTCTCCCCAGACACCAGGCTCCTCGCCTCAGCCTCATTCGACAAGTCCATTAAAATCTGGGACGGACGCACTGGAAAGTTAGTCAATCTCATACCATTATTGAATCCATGTGTAATACTGCTGTTATCCAGGTGATGGTGCTGTAGGCATATGACGTGAGTGTTTGTAACTGAGTCATTTATTATCTCTGCCTTGCTTTCTCCAAAGGTACTTAATATCCCTGCGTGGCCATGTGGGCTCTGTGTATCAAGTGGCTTGGTCCGCAGACAGCAGGCTGCTGGTCAGCGGCAGCAGCGACAGCACGCTCAAAGTGTGGGACATCAAGACTGGGAAGCTGAATATGGACCTGCCCGGCCACGCTGATGAGGTGAGGGAGGACAAAGATGATGGCTGTTTGTTGGTTGCAGGGATGTCGATGATTATGCTTATCATTGTAAGGGCTGGCGCCAAAACTGACTGATTGTGATTGTCCTTTTTTGCCTTATTGACTTACCTCTTGTGTTTGTAGGTCTATGCAGTGGACTGGAGTCCTGATGGACAAAGAGTGGTCAGCGGTGGGAAAGACAAATGTCTCAGAATGTGAGTGAGATGCCAAGAAGCAATCTTTACCTTTTTTGTTAAGTTAACATGTTGCCTCACATGGGACCTTTTGATCTTGTTTTATTATTCTAGATGGAGAAGATAGACCCACCTCCGATTCTCCCTCCTCACTTCGGCAGAGGATTTCACATCTTCTCCTATCAGGAAGCCCGACAGCTGGAGCAAAGGTGGCTCGGCTGAACCTAATCCCCCATCGGGCTTCGTTACACTGTCTCACTGATAGCAGTGTGTCCAGGGGCGCTAACCTAGTCATGATGGGGAAAGCCCTCTCTCTAAGGTTGGATACCCATGTGAGAATAATAACAACGATGCAACACCCGAAAGCTGAGTGCGAATGTTAAACTTGGGACTTTCGAATCAATTATGGCCCTGACGTACTACTTAATTTAAAGCTGTATCATAGTGCCATGCTTATATGCATAAACCACAAACATCATTATGTATCCTATTATAAATACAGAATATAACCTTAAGAATTGAGATGCATAAATTGAGAGCTTAAAAAAGTATTTAGCCCTACTAGATGAACTATATACTGTGGATGGACGTGGCAACAGGTGGGAGTGTTTAATACCTTCCTCTGTGATTTAAATGACAACCTCGCTCGCCCTCTAACTTCAGCTTTTAATCTTCTCTGTCCGCAATCTGTCTGATCCTCCCTCCCATTGCGGAAAAACCAGGTCCACCATTCCAGCAAAAATAACCTGTTTCACTTTCTGTATTTTACCGGCTTTGTGAATATTGGATATGAATAAATATTTTACATCAAAACATAATTGTACATAACCTACTTGACTACACAGGTCACCACTGTCTAAAGAAGAAGCTTTGGATTTGTTTTTGGATGCAAATCCTTGAAGTGTTGGAGGAAACCATCAAGTGAAATCAAATCTTAATACCCCCGGTACAGGTTACATTGAGGCGTTACAAGAAAACAATTAGAAATATAAGAAGTTATTTGTATTGAAGGAAAGTTTGTGCATCCACATTTACAAAACACTAATATCTGAATGATGGGCTGTTGTGTGCCTAAATACACATTACCAAAGTCACACAGATCAGGTTTATCAATCAGTTTATTGAAACAATATTTTATCTAAATCCTGTCTGAAACTTCAGATGCATCACAATTTATTCACACAAATCCTTCACTCCGCCCAACAGGATCTTCAGAAATGCGATTGATGAAATTGATATATTTATGAAAAGCAGCACACACATAGAAAAAAATGCGCATTAGTTAATAAAAAACAAAATGGTAAAGACATGAGGATTGAAGAATATTCGGTTGCTCTTAGTTTTAAAATGTAATAAAGATGTCCTTTTTATTAGGGATATTAAATTGGAGATTCTATTGAAATGTGGCAAAGGCGAGTAAAAAGGCTTCTGTGGTGCTACTAGTTTGATTAAAAACCAAGCCTTTCTTTTATCGAGCCTCTCAGACATATGTCCCCTTGTTGACGTTCAATATGTAAACACTTAATAAGAGAAGTGCAATAAAAGATGGCTAACTAACTATTTCATCGCTAAGCGTACAAAATGCTTGTAAAGCAGTTAGGCTTGAGGTAAACAATATTAAAGTGACAGATTTGACTAGAGGACGGTAGGATGAACCAATAAGCACAGAAGTCATATGGCTGACATAGTCTGGCATGTTATCTTGAGTAAATGTGTATTCACTTTTATATTTCAGGCTGCACACCAGCAGCTGCTGGGATATAATAACCTGACTGAGGGTCTGAACAAAGCATTACTGGTCAAATATTCCCAAATGAAGCCTTCACATGCAGCTGTCAAGGACTCGAAACACATACTGAGCATATAGTAACGTGTGATGTTGAAGATGTAACGTTGACCTCGCTAACTTCTATTAATGAATCATCTCTTGTGCTACATAGGGCTTTGTTTCCTACAATGTGTGCTCAATGACTACTTTTATTAAGTTGTAACAATCTGCAAGAAAGGTACTGACTCCAGAACAGTTTGTGTACACTGCGAGCCACTGTCAGCGTGTAACAGGATAGAAGCCACATCGAGATCCATGCAGCCAAACGGAGCAGTTATCAGCAGCGGGCCATGAAATACACAATGAGCAGTATCCTCATCTCCAAGACACAGTGAGGAAATACCTCTAAAGATGACCCCACAAGCACTGTCGGGTAAGCAATTACAAAACAGAGAAGTGTTGGATTACTGCACAGACATTTGAAAGCACTGCTGCCAGCTGGTTAGGGTCCAGTAGCGTCTCTGTAGCAACCTAGTGTACTGAGTACTCAGTGAATCAAAAGACACATTTATGGTTAAAGTACAAAGTGTTCACTCTACAACATGTACCATAACAGTGGTACAAAGTTCAAACAGACATACGTAGTATCCCTTTTTGTTTAACCCACTCAAGTCTTGCCCCTTCTCTTATCTGAACCTTTGGTTCATAAGGTTTCTTTAGTCTCTACAAAGAGTCTACACTCTGTGTAAACTCTTTGTAGGATCCTTTCTGAATTTGCCTTTTCCTATTCTTCAACATAAAAGTCCCTCTTGATTCCTTAGTCAGACCGAGAAAGCGTCGAAATGCAAAACTTACTTTTTTTGCTGTATTTTTTTGGTTACATCTTGGATTATTTGATTAAACGGAGTGAAAACTGGTCATGATGAAGAGTCATCTCTTCGGGTCAATGCAGAGCAAATATGAACTAAAATAGAGGTGTTCAGTTGTGCGTAGCATGAGGCACTGGTCTGTGTTTCCCTCTGGATCTCTGTCACTGTCTGGCCCATCTACTGCGTCTCCCACACGTTGTTCAGTAGCTTGACCACCTCCTCATAGATGACAAAGACGATTGCCACGTCCAAACACACGCGGCCAAGCCTGGGAACTGTTCCCTTGTAAAACCTGGGGACAAAATGAGATCAGGTTAGATGGTTCAGCAAAAACGAAAGCAGACAGCATGATTCATGCGGAGGGTTACTCACGCCTGTGGTCCTTCATTCTTCAAGATCTGGAAGGCACAGTCAACTGTGGATTTGTAGCGGTGGGCCTCCAGACCCTACAGAAATCAGAGTGAGTTTGAAAAATGGCAAAACATGAACGTAACATCCACAGAGGGTGTGTTTGTGTCCTACCTGCATCCTTGTCTTCACCACATCCAGAGGTGTATTTCCAAAAACACTGGCAGCTCCTGCCGTCGCTCCAAAGATCGCGGTTATAAATGGGTGCATGTCTCGGCTTGGGTCGTCACCTTAAAGGCCAAAAACGAAAGTTGAGTTGGGAAAATGGGAGGAGAATACATCCACCCGTCAATAGTTTAAAAAAAGACATAAACAAGGACATTGGCATTTATTTTGCAGTCAGTAGATTTTCTCACCTTTGTACCAATTGCGCAGCAAGTTCATCACATAGAATCGGATCGCCTGATTGGATCCTTGTTTCAGCACAGTCGCTGTCAGACCTTGATATGTCCCCCTCACACCTATTTTTAAAGAAGACAAACCACATACACATGAATATTGGTGGATACAAATAGCCAATAACAAGGAGCATCCTGGCTGATAAAAGATGTAAGAAGTTTGTAAGAGATTCAGCCAATTTCCCCCTTTTCACTCTCTTACCCTGTTCTCTGATAATCTCACTGATTCCGTGAAAGAAGCCTCTGTAGCGCGGTCTGAGCGAACACTGGTCATGGATCATCTTCACCTGGAGGACAAGGGAAGAACCACCTCATCAGGCCATTTATTCAGATTTATTGTTTATAAAAGCTTCCTACAGTCAAAGCAATGTGTAACAGCATCCAGCTCCTCTGACCTTCAGGGTCTCCATGGGACAGACGACCACGATGGCCTCCGTTATCCCTGCTCCTAAACCACACACGAGGCTCCGCGTGTTGTCAAGGCGACCTGTGGCGTCTCGCATTGGGTTGCTGAGCATATCAAACGTGCCAAACCTTTAGAAAACGACAAGGTGATTGTGTTTTGATTTTCTTGTTCTAAAACACGGCATCATGGTAGTATCAGTAAAGCATTTCAAGTTTGTGATTAGCGGTTTAGTTAACTTTTTTTAAATCGTCATGCAAAAATAGGAAACATTTAATGTTCTTAGGAATAATTAAAGTGTACGAATTAGCTGCTTTTGGTACTCAATGTTATAGAACAGGAAATATCCTTAGGTTTGAAACAGTTGTGTGGATAAAACAAGACATTTGATGCAATACATTCTTGGAAATTGTGATGAAAAGAACAAGGAATCATTTAAATTTAAGGGAAGTCAACTGTAGATTAATCAATAATGAAAAAAAAAAAATGTTAAGCCTTGCAAATGTGTCTGCCTATAAAGTGCCATTAAATGCTGTGATACTGCTTTGACGGGGAAAAGTTACTGAATAGCATGTGTGCATCTTCACCTCACTGCAGACTTGGGTATTGATCCATAGAGCAGGGAGCTGAGACCTCGATACAGTCCTCTCAGCCCATGATCTTGCACGGTCAACTTCACACAGTCGCCTAAACATACACACGCACGCACGCACACAGCATCCAGGAGTGAGTAACCCATCAGAAGACTTTCACACAAACCTGCAGTCAGGCAGAAGTCATACATGTCCCAGTGACCTACCGATCCCTCTGTATCGAGGTGGGTTAGCTCGCTCATCTAGCTGCAGCTGGGTCTTGACATATTCTGTGGGGAAGGTGATACAAATCTCTATTCCTCCTGCAATGCCACCTGAGTGTGGAAAGAAGAGAGATGATGATTTGTAGACTCACTGTGCAGAATGTTCTGGGAGCAGGGAGAACTCATGCTTTTCTATGTCACTTTTTAAAAAAAAACGAGATGCTAGATAATTCCTGCTTAGTCGATAACTCAATTAGATATACACAGCATTGTCTGCATTGAGTTGGAAGGTGTAGCTATGGGTTACTGACTGTATATGCTTCTATTCATTCAATATGCAGCTGTTAGCATCATTTTCGATTATTACAAATTAATAAAATGTTAGCTTAGCAATAAAGAAATTCCTATTGTATTGTAGCATCGCTGCTGGATGAATGCGAGTTGACCCAGTTCTGCATGGATAGCCTCTTTGAGCGACAGATTGCGATTAGTCTACTGTGCAGGGAGCAACATGCTACTATTCGTATGTGCGTTTCAAAATCAACCTGCAAGAATGGACTTTCCAGGATGCGTGAGTTTCCTTCCACCGACTGCAGCGGCCGCCAGGTTTCTCCCCGGCAGAGAGCCCGTCAGAGACCCCGGCAGAGAGACCAGCCCCGCGGCGACCAGACGCTGCGATGGAGGCTGATGATGAGGAGCTGATCCCGGGAATCCTCTCCTCACAGCGCCGCTCTCACACGGCCCCTCGCACACCGAAAACGGCTTCAGTAGTGACGACATGTCTGTGTTCAGGGGCTCGTTATATAAATCTGTCTGTGGCGACGGTCCCACACCGACAATGTCAGACGAAAATAAAAACACAGGATGGTGGAGGCTCACAGGGACCATCAATATTCAAATAGCAGTCAGGTGATGGGGCAGGGCATGGCCTCACCATGCTTCCTAATCCAATGCCATTACCCAGTCACGTGACTGTGCGTGAGTATTAGCGACCAATAAGGTAAAGGACGTTGTTTGTTAATGTGTCGATGTCATTTTGTAGTCTGTCACTGTCAACTACTATGATAATAATCTACCATCATTTAACAATATCTGTATACTTTTACTTGAAGTAAGGATATAATAATTTGTATATTTTCACAGTGCCTTCTATTTTGTGCACTTATATAAGTCTATAAAAGGCTGTTATAACCTTTTTCACATTATTAAACACACCAAAATATAAAGCAGTGGATGTAAAAAATACAGAATAATCTAATTGTAATATATTTACAACAATATGATTGAAGAGACTCAACTAAAACCAAACCATATGACACGTTTATGAACACAATGTGAATATGTTTAGTATTTGTCAATACAACTTTCAATGTCAAGTATAATTACAGTGAAAGTCATGTATTCAGAGTTATCGTGTATTAACATTATGTTGTAACAGAAAAATCTGAGGTATCAGATGCAAAGATTTCAATTCAAAGACAGACTATCTTGTAATAGGAAGAAGTTGGATGTACAAGATGAAAAACAAAGAATAGTAAAGTACAAATAAACAATAGTTTGGTATATTGCTTAATCCATGTTTCCTAAAATATTGCTCTAGCCATGCCAAAGCACACACACACCCTGCGTCCCCCGATCACCCTTTACACGAAACTAGGTCAGTGTTTCCACCCACAACCCCCACTGAAAAAATATAGACTGACACAGGGAGAGCTAGTCAGTGTCAAAACCCCAAACTACAATCACCAATTGTTGTTCAATTTTGTGTGTATATAATTTTATTTTTTTAAATAGATGAACTTGATGTTCTACAACATGTCTACATGCACCTGCGATTACACATAGGGGTAGACTGTAGCAAAAAATTCCAGTTCAGGAGGGAGATCTCGGTATGTAGACAATAATTTCTCCAGCTGCTCTTTCTGCTCTTCGTGGTCCTCTTCTACTGAGTAGACACTCACCTGGAAAACATGATCAACAAGAGCATTAGTATCCAGATCCTGGTATATGTGAAGATTCAGGCAGCTTTTTTCTCACCCTGATCGTGTTGAGTAAGCTCCTTTGTGCCAGCCTGATTCTCAGCAGTCTCTGCACAGTTCTGATTTCCAGGAAAGCCCAGACTCTCAGCTGCTCCAGACGATCACAACGTCTGACCAGCTTCAGCAGCTCGTCGTCCAATAGTTCACTGCAGTTACTCAGGTGCAGGGTCAGAAACTGCAGACAGGCAATATAAAAATGACCAACAACACAATGATGTCTCATTTCTAGGAACCCCTTCATAGCCTGCTATTCTCTGCATGTCCACCAGATGCCCTCAGACTTTTTAACCAGTCATGCTCACCTGACCTTCCCCAGCAACCCGTTTACCCTTTCCCTCATCAGCCCTGGAGCATTTAACCAGCCGTTTTTCACTTTTACCACCAAGTCAAAGATACCATGTAGCTTTGAATGTTTGCTGGTCACTGAAGCCTGAAACCTTAACCACTAATGTGTCCCTGTACCTGCCAGTAAGGTAGGATTTTCTACATCTACATGGGTCGTTCCCGTGTGGCCTCGTACTAAATCCACATGATATTTTTATTGCGAAATATTTTTTTTTTTAAAGAATTAACAAATCCCTCTAAACATTTCCTGAACTATCACACAGTATGTTTTCTGGGAACGTTAGTTTACCACAATCTCTCTAAACTGCTTCGTACCCTTACCTTCAGAGTGAGCCTGAACTGAGGCAGCATGGCATAGAAGAGAGGCCTGGGGCTCCATTCTTCGTTGGGAGAGTAGAAAGTTGTCATGCTGAAATCAACAAGGGGAATCTCAGGCAGCAGGATCCTTGCAAGTCGGTCAGTGTTGAGGATTTGGTCGACTGCAATCTTGACTTTCAGGCCCGGGCAGCACGATGCCAGAGATTCCCATGAGTGACCGCAAATCACCTAGACAGAACACAACACAAAAATGTCAAAGCACCTACATTTTTGTGTTGCCAAGATAAATACTTTCTTGTGTGTCCTTACACTCAGCTCCCTGAAGATGAAGTCTATCATTTTTTTAAATAAAGCCTTCAGAACCATCTACCCTTTTGCTGTCTATGTAAGCAGTTACATGTGTTGGGAATAGTCTACAGAACCAATGGCTGTCATCATGTAATGTTAATCTATTATGTTCGTAATTACCTGTCCATGGGGAACATTCAAAGAACACCACAGTGAAAGTGTTTTCAAGTGGATGAAATCTCTCCACCCTCGCCCTCTGGGCTGCAATGCCTTTAGAAGCTCATCTGACAGACAGGAGTAGCTCAGGCTCAGGTGGGTGAGGCCTTTCATGAAGCCCAGGGTGCGGGGCATGTTGGAGTTGCGGTAGACTGGAACTTCTCCAGAAAAGAAACCCTTCAAGTCCAAAGTAGAGATGTAGTAGCGATGGTTGGTGCGCTTCTGAGACTGTGCCAGGGTGGAAAGCATCTCCAGACCCTAGAGGTTAAAGGATCAGGAATCAGAAAAATAACTTTTTAATGAGCACTCTGCTAGTGAAATCAGCACCCGTAGCAGTGACATACCTACTCAAACATCATCTTTGGTGTTGTAGTCACCTGAATCATGCCGATTTTCATCCCATTCAGACAAACGGAGTCAAGCTTTGAGCCTTGTGTGCGGAGGAAGGAAACCAGGAAGATAACAAAAGAATTTCTGAGTCCAGAAGTCCAGCAGGGCCGGTCTAACTCCAGATTTGAGAGGCTGATAGACTTCAGTGACGCCCGTACTCTGTGGAGACAAAATAATGTTTGGTTTGGAGAGTCGTCAGTTACAGTCTGATGTGGGATTTATTGGGGTTAAGAGGGGCTTTAAGAACACACACTCCTTTACCTGGTAAGCTCATCAAATACTGTCTTGATTGTTCTCAACAGTCTCCAGGCTATCGAGTAAGTGGATGGAGGATTTACCAACACGGCCAACCTCTCCAGGTAGACTCCTCGAGACTGGACATAGGCCACAGAAGAGTGGAATTCAGACTGCCTGTATTTGGACGGCCGGACATTGAGGTGGAAGGTGTGTGAGCGCCAGAGGGAGGGAGAGTGCATGGTGTTGTGCCAGCGCTGACAAACCAGGTCTGAACTCCTGCGATCCCCTTCATCAAGAAACTTAAACACGTGCGTCAAGCACAAAACAGGAAGTATGGCCCAACTCTCTGAGCTACACCCTGCATCACTGAGAACTTCCATCTTTTCTCCATTATCCTCATCTTCACTGTTTTGCATTAACTCCTCATTCATATTTGGTATGTTTTTTTAATCCTGCCGCTGCAGAATGTTTCCTAAGAAAGCATGGTTTAGTGTTAGATTTATTAAGGCATTCACATAAGACAAATCTGAAAATGTGAAACAACATTACCTGTACTCGGTGAACAAAATGGGAGACAGGGAGGTGGTTGAAACTGCTAAAGGAGTTAGAGAAGCTACCGCGGAATGTTTATGCCCGAAAAACATTCAAACAAATACAAAAAAAAAACATCTTTGACAACAATGATAAATAGAATATCACTATGGGAGAAGAATATTTAAAAATGTTAGTTATCATCCTTTTTTAAGATAAACACTGAGATGTTTAGGCCTGAGAACAATTAAACAAAATACAAAAAATGGAAGGTAACGGACAAAAGGGGAGATGGGGAGTAGGAATCCTTGGAAAACACTAAGAAGAATGTTTTTAATCTTGTTTTCATCCGATTGAAGAGTATCATTGTTGAGATAAATCAACACTTAATAATGTATTATAATGTACTGCTGCAATTTTAAACGTGTATTATTGGATTACCAGCTACTATTGCTGCATTTCTGACCTTGAGCACTGAATTTCATATTTAAAAAGACATACTGATTTTGTACACATGAATTTTATTTGTGTTAACACATTAAATATTTTACAGAAAATCAACTCAAAATGAAATAAGAGAATGGACATGTCTAAACTTAGATGTAAGCAGAAACCGATATTGCACATTACATTTAGATGTAAAGTATTTCCTGAGAACATTAATACAGAATATATTAAAAGTATATAGATGCATTACATTTAATTTCTCTGGGAATGAATCCATTAGCTCTTTGAGTTCTTCTGCCCTTCAAACAGTAGACACTTAGCCTGTGCAGAAAGAGAAAGAACAACATTCAGAGGCTTCCTGGTAAACACAGTGATAATAAGCTTTGGTATGTTTAGTGGAGTGTTAGCTTGTGGGTCTCTATTTATGTCTTTGTGTGTCGGGGCCAACCTCATGCCAAAGCAGTGTGTCAGGGGTTAGCGCCAGATGGCAGTGAGGGCAGGTTTGTGTTTCACCGGGCACTTCCTGGTTCCTCTGCCCCCAGCAGGGCCCTTCACTGCCCCACAGAGGGCTACACGTTGAGTGTGAGGAACACGCGACCCCAAAGTGAGGTCGAGGGTCAGTCTGGTAGCTCACTCTTTGGCCACTAGAGGGCGACGAGGACAGAGAATTCGAGTCCTCCTGTAACAAAGCACAAAAGGCGCAGGAGTGGAAGTAGTACTCACATGTTGTACTTAGAATTACTACAGTGTAGAAATACTTTCTGACAAGTAATAGCCCATAATTTAAAATCTTAGTTATGTAAGGTACAAAAGTTAAAGTAACAAAATTAAAAGCACCTATTGTGCAGAATCGCCCAGAATCATATTATCATATATATCAAAAATATGATGGCTCATCAATTATTAAAGCTCAGTTTAGTGTTGTATTTTTCTCACTTGACCTTTACTCTTTATATCCAAACGCATTGACTTTAAAATGTATCTAATGCAAATGCCGGCCATTTATTTTGTTACTATGACTTTACAGTATATGAATGAATGTCATCTGAACCCACAAGGTCACAGAAACATCCCTTTATCTCCACGAAGAAGAGATGGATACTCCTTTTTGTGGGTTTTGCAAATTTGCAATATGTCCTTAAAATTGTAACATTTTTGCATTTGCATCAATGCTACTTCTGATTGTAAAAGAAGTGAATTAACTTTGCATTTTACACATCTATGCAGAGAAAGAGCTTTTCACACTTCACAATGTATCTGATCAGCCATGTCTCAATGACACAATGTGTTTAGACAGAAGTGTTGAAACCTGTTCAGGAGTTTCAGGCCGACCCTCTGAGTCGAGAGACCTCAGGCAATACCAGCAGGGTTCAGACAGGCGATCTGCGAGGACACAGACACACAGGACAGCCTCACATGAGCACATGCTGGTTACTATGTTTGGGGTGTGTGTGTGTGTGTGTGTGTGTGTGTGTGTGTGTGTGTGTGTGTGTGTGTGTGTGTGTGGTGTGTGTGTGTGTGTGTGTGTGTGTGTGTGTGTGTGTGTGTGTGTGTGCGTGTGCGTGTGTGTGTGTGTGTCACATACTCTGTGTGTCAGAGGGATGAGAAGACACTGAAGGGGGGCTCAACTCTTCCTCTGTTGGCAGGGGGGACATTGGGAGGCAGTCGTCATCGTCCTGTGTGTGTGTGGATATGAGAGTCTCCGGTGGTGAGGTCTCTGCTTCACTGATACACAGATCCTCCTCGACCTATATCAATCACAAGGGAGCAGAAACGTGTGTCACTAAATATTGTGCTTTATTTTTCTCATGCTGCCTGTGCTGCAGCACCTCCTTTCACCCTCCGTCTGAAACCAGAGCCCAGTCTGCTCTGATTGGTTAGCTGGCAGGCTCTGTTGTGATTGGTCAACCGCTTAGATATGTCCCACCCCTCAGCCTATCACGTGCAATGTGTTGTAACGCTAGCCAATAAAAGTGTGACTGTTGCATAGTTATGTCATTATGTTACGGAAGTAAACAAAGCAGTCGAATGGAGGGGTTTCAGGAGGGGGGGGGGAATAGAAACTCCCTCTGTAGGGAACTTGTAGATTTAAGCCTTTGCAGAACGTTTACATGCACAAAAAACAACATAACACTCTTTAATGCTGATAATGAGGCTGTAAATATACAGAAGGAATGTTGGTATAGTGTGTATTGTTCCTGTCGAATCTGACCTGAACATGCTCTTCCTCTCCATCACAGGCTCCACTGACGACCTCCTCCTGCTCCTCCTGCTCTGGTTCCTGGAAGGTTTGTGGCTCATGGCTCTCCTCACTGCAGCTCTGAGTCGGCTCGTCAGCCTGGGTGGAAGACGTCTCACTGAGGTTTGAGAGAGAAGTAGCAGAATTAAAAAACATGCCCTCCTAACAGCCTCACTCGAAAGGTTATCAGCCAATCAATCTTCAGCTGATTACACCGGTAAGGCCTCTAGTGTTACACTTGAAGGCGAGCACCTGATCAGGCATAAACATTCACATCCTCTCCGCCTTACCTTCGGGTTCTCTCTCCCTGTTCCTCCCTCTCTCCCTCCATCCCTGCTCATGTCCCTCCCTGGGAGCCTTATGTGTTATTTATTTATCTTAATCCTGCTGTTCTCTGAAATGTCCTTCTCTTCCTCTGCTCCTGTCAGTCCTGCCGTCTGTTTGCCTCTCAGCCGTCTCCCCTCCCACTTTGTGTGTGAAACGGAAACTCCAGGCTTTTAATATTTCATGTGTCTGAATAGCTCACAACCAGGTTTCTGTAAAGACTAATCAGGAGAGGACTCAGAGGTCTCTGCGGTGGAGTCTGTTTACGACACAAGCAGGCCTGCTAGGACAAACACAAAACACAGGCTCAAAACCTAGAAGAGATCTTTTTTCTCATTCCGCAATGTACAACTGTTATAAAAAACCTGATTGACAACATCACTGTGAAATATAGGTTTTTGTTTGTCAGCTTTTAAGCTAAAACCCCAAACGTTCCCCATTTCTGCTTTTATTTGTCTAATGTAAAAGTAGACATTTTGGGACTCAATAATGAAACAAGCATTATAAAGATGAGGTGGGCTTTAGTAAATTGATAATGATTACGGACTTATTTACAAATGTGTGGATTTGTATTTCGCAATGGGCTCATTGAGGGGGAATGCCATCCCCCTTCTAAGCATAATACATGTCCCTTGTTTACAACCCGGTCCCAATCCAGGGGAAGCAGAGGTGGCGCTGTGGGGTTGTTAAACTACTCTGCCTGGGTCATTGATCTTTTATCTGACTGATGATGGTGCATGTTACAATCTATGCCCCTGACTAAGCTCTTAAATATCAGTAGCACCTAGCTGTGTATTGATAAATCCATGGCGCTGTCCGTGGTGCTGAAGTAGCAGAAGGAGTTGTAATAGTTATATATTTTCTGAATTTTACCCTTCTGTCAGTTTTGTCTCGGATTTATATTATATGTTCTCTAAGCTATAGACCTGTAGGTGGTAAAACATATACAACCAAAATATGGGGAGTTTATGGGGCTGTTTGCGAAACAGACCGAGTGCAGAGGGAAATATATTATAGCCAACTTTTTACTTTACCACATGTTTCTGCGGGATTAAGCTGCTAGTTACAGTTTATCTACTTCTTATGATAAATACAAGTAGATACACTTTTATGATTCCAATGATAAATTGGATGAAAGGACCCCACATTTGACCGGCTACAAAAAGCAACTTTGAAATAGACCATTCTGTCAAATGTGTACTTTACCCTTTGATTCTTAAAGTACACTTTACTCATAGTACTTCTCAATTTTACTTATAGTTTTTCAAAAACATTTTATCAGAATTTATACCTATAGGGGAGTATAGGTGAAGGATCGGATAACTACACACAAACACACACACACACACACACACACACACACACACACACACACACACACACACACACACACACACACACACACACACACACACACACACACACACACGTAACCCTTAACACCTTGTAAGGTCTGACAATATAACAAAAACATATTATTCTCTAAGTATTATTATCTTTAGCTGCAGCTCAGCATGTGTCTGTACATTGTGTTCATTCAGGACTGCCATCTTGTGCACATCACAGCAACATGACTGCATTGTACGTGACTCATTCCTCCAGCAGATGGAGGAAGAGCATTTTCTTTGTGGCTCACAAACGGCAAATGGACAAAAGCCACATTCCCCAGGGAATTTCTGCCTTTCTCTTTTTTCCCCCTCACTTATGTCCATTTTTCAGCCAGTTATTTGTTTTTGTCTCTCCTATAGTCCAGGAGCGTGGTACTTTTGCTTGTGCAGCTGTCTCATTTGCTCTCTATTCCTGAGTGTGAACTTCAATTGACATGAGTTTCCAATCATGAAAACTCCTCATAATCCTGTAAGATATGACACGCAGCAGACATGAATGGAG